AAAAAAAAAAAAAGAAAAATGACAATCATAAGCCATATATTTATAAATCAATAAGCATAATCCGGAAAAATTGCTATTAAATAGAAAAACCAATTTTATTTCAACTTTTGTACATGAAAAGTAATAATACTGATCAACATTTTTTCTTAGGAAAAATAATGTCAAATTAAAGATCAACTATCAAAATCAAAAGTTAGCAAATTTAAAAATTATCGCGATTTATCTGATTAAATGTTTTACATTTTTTTATTTTGGAAAATACTGAAAATTTAAACTAAAAAGTAATGAATTATGTACTGAAATTATAGTTCAATTTTCTCAACTTCTCTATAGAACAAAACTTCAATTCCCAAAAAATATATACTCAAAAATATGAAAGTACAAAAAATTATGTTTCTACCTTGATATTTTAGAATTCTGCATATAATTTTTGCATTAAATCAAAAGAAAAAGAAAAGTACATTATAATATCAACAAATTTTGCACACAGCAATTTGAACACAAACTGGTTAGTTTCATTTGGTTTATATGGCATGGATCTAGTATTTGGTTTTCTTGTTACTTAATATTCAATGTTAACAGAGATATATTTTTAAAGATAGAGCAATTAATCTTAAATATAAAATAAGTTATGTTTGTGAGTACTGGTTGTCACCAGCATTTCTACTATATGCTTTAATATGAAAGAGAAGCACTGGATTAAATATCTGTACACAATAGAAAAATCTTAGCTAAATTATTAGCAAACTGATTCTTTTTTTTTTATACAAACATGTAAAACGTGGTTGTTATCGACAATGTATAGAATACAAGATTATGTACAATAAATTGTATATAATAGTCTTCTTACAACCCTCTAGTAATCAATATTCATCAAAAAGATGGAAATATATTATCAATGTATATGTATATATATATATAGTGTATAGAGCATTAAAAATTTTTAATACATGTTTTCATTAGGCAGTTTTTACTTCTCTTGTTGTATAAAACTATTATGAAAACGTTTACTTTTCCGTTATAAACGAAAATCACAAGATTTACATTATACATAATACAATATACATAATATATATTGTCTTACCAGAATATTCTTTCCTAATCGACATTTTAATACTTCTTTGACTATAATTTCACTTCACTATGTATCAAACACTAAATGTTAAATGTATACGCTTGGGTCGAAAGTTATTTCACTCTTTATGCACATTTATCATTATTGGAGCATTAACGACTCCAAATTTCTATGTAATATCGTATCCTTGACAGCATTAAATACAACTTTTATGTTTTCCGTATCTACGGCAGTAGTAAAATGGTGAAAAAGTGGTTTTCTTGGATCTCTTTTAACAGATATAAACATTTCAAGTATAAAATTCTGCACATCCTTCATGGAATGTGAATCTCCTGTGAATTGTGGAAAGTACCAACGGACATTCGTATCGGGCGATCTTACTTTTTTGTCTAACAAATCAGTTTTATTTAAAAATAGAATGATAGACACTCCGCCAAATATCATATTGTTGACTATTGTATCAAATATATTTCTAGATTCTTCCAACCGATTTGTTCTTCTGCAACATTAATAGACCATATTACTTAATGATTTGACTCTCTTAATACATGAACTTGAAATGAACGTACCTATCTTCTAACAACACCTGATCAAATTCAGATGATGAAACAAGAAAAAGTATCGAGGTAACACAATCAAAACACTGGTACCACTTCTGTCTCTGAGATCGTTGACCTCCAACGTCAACAAACAAAAATGGGATGTTATTAATTTGTATCACAAATTCTGAAATTCCCTTTGTAGCTTTCCTACAGTGCAAGATATCTTGATGCGTAGGTTCATAATCCTGCAAATTTTAATATTGAACAGATGAGCTAAACTGTTATATACGTATGAGAGAATAACAAAATAAATTTTACAAGTTACAGAAGAATCCATAATAAAATTAGGATAACATTACCACTCTTGCAATGCTGTCAAGATTATCCAAGAAATATTGAACTGAATCGCTCTATAAAGAAAAAGTATATTTTTAAAGTATATGTATAACGCAATATGAAATACATTGTAATTACTGTGAAAATTGAAGTGTGTCTTACTAATTGAAACTCTCTTCTTCTATCAAAGGCCTTTTTAATTGATGCGTCTTTCCATAAACTTTGTAAAGATGGTACATAACGAAGAAACAATCTAGCATCCAACACCATGGTATTTTCAAATTTCAATAATTGATAACCAATGTCATAATTCTTAGGGTTCTCCCATGGAATATTCAACTTGTCGCGAGCATCTACCAACACCTTCATTCCTTTAATTATATTTTGGTAAATAATATGTTGATACTCTTTAATTAACTCAGGCTGAAACAAATAATTATTACAAGATATTACAAAGGAATAATATACAATTGTTTCAGAAATACAAAATTCCATTGAAAGAAGCTCGCAGCTAAAAGCCTATCTTTCATCAAACCTAGCTCAATATCAATTTATTCAATGATTACGATTGCCATAAGTGGTAAAACAAACAAACTGATAGGAAATCTGTAAACTCGACTGTCTGTACCTAACGCCTACTTGTTGAACATCCTTTTTCAAAATTGCATTCACTTTCCAAATGCACATACACAACTTTAACACGAAATTTAATTCGAAAAATTGAAAATCAAAAGGATTGGCCGATCTGCAAACCGATACACTGATAACTATCGTGAAACGTAAACAAGCAAAACGACGAACGATATCGGAGATCTTTCTCGGTGGAAACGAACAAACAACACTCGTTTCCGCTTCGAATTTGCACGTTTTTCGGCTCGATGTGCCTCGGTCAACCACGCACAAAGCGTTTGAACGACAATTGACAGAGAAGACTATCTCGCTTCATTTACGAACGGAAACGTTCTAGAAAAAAAAAGGCAAAAACAAGAAAAGAAAAGAGGCAACGAGAGTACGTCAAGGCGTTGACGTATCGACGTTGACCGTCAGCTATACAGAAGCTGCTGCTGAAACGAAACGACGATCACGACGAGAAAGAAAGAAAGAGTAGACGGACAAATAGTCTCACCTCGAATTTAATCCCGTGGATAATTCGCATCTGTTTAAGGAATGTCGACTTTCCGCTCTCGCCTGCCCCGAGGAGCAGCAGCTTAACCTGTCGCCGGAGCGCTTGACGATCCTTCTCCAACATTCGATCGATCTCCTGGCTCTTGTAACGCTGCTCGATCTCCTCGGGGCTGAACTTGAACCGCAGGCAACAAGTACACGACCACGTTAAGGATCCCGCCATCTTGCTACCCTGCTACCCTCCTCTTCCTTCCTTCCGGCGTTTCTTCCGTGTCTGACTGCCCTTCCGAAGGAATATATCCTCGATCGTCCAAACACCGCACATACACACCGAGAGGGACACGGCAGACCCGTGTGTGCGCTGTACGCCGAGCCTGTGTTGCGCCGTACCGAGCAACGGGTAGCTGCCGGAGTTTTGTGTTCGTGTGACTGCCGAATTTTGTTGGCAACGCGTGTGCCAGCCGAACGTGGAGGAGAGCCACCCGTGAACAACCTGTTCGTAATTGCACACACGGGGATCGGCGCACGTCGCCACGCTCAGAACCGCATTTTTCACCTAGGCGTAGCCGGGGGAAACGCAACCACCGAGTGGTCCGACACACGCAACGTCGTCGACACACGCTCTATCGTGCGGGGGCTCCTCTATCGTGGCCGTGCTCGCCTCGCCACGGGAACTCCGCGCACGCACTATAACCTACCGTTAATCGGCGAGGCTCACGCCGCTGCTTGCCTGCCCACGATCGTCGTCTCCTCCGGTTCCTCGCGGATTGGACATGATTAAATAATCGTTCTAATTGCCGAGTAACAGAGCTAACTGGCGCATCGTTCTCATTGCGCCTCTCTCTCGACCTCTCGAGAGAGAGGAGAACCTCTGTTTCTCTCTTTGTTTCTTTCTCTTTCTCTCACTTCTTTTCGATGCCGAAGAGAAAAACCGAATTTGTTCGTTCTCGATTAACGATCCTGTGTACGCAATATGATTCACCACAACACCTGTGTATCTTTCTCTCTCTTTCTCTCGGTTCTATCTGTCGGTATCGAGACAAACGTGCAAATGACCAACTACCGCCCGAACTACATGACAACAATGCGGGGGAAGAAGTATGCGAAACAGCGAACGGGAAAACGTACTCCCCACCACGACATATTTGTTGTGAGATACTGCCGCGCATGCACACACGTACAACGCGCCACGCACACGATCTCCGGAACTAACCGAAAGCGCACCTCCCGGTCCGACCGCGTGATCGGTTTTGCGCGCTGTCATTCGTCGGCAGAACCTTCCTTCTTTCTTCTCTCTTTTTTTTTTTGTTATTTATCCTCGTTTGTCGATACCGCAACGCGACGCAGAGCCAAGATTCTCCTTGAGCATCGTGCATCAACGATTACACGGCTCTCCGTTGCGTGGTGGGGATGGAACTACTCATTGTTCAGTTCTTCGACTTAATTGTCGATTGACTGGCCACTTCGTCTTGTCTTGTCTTGCTCTGCATTACCTACTGTCGCTGCAAGCTACTTTCTTCATCACGTATGCGAGAAAGAAAGTTCCTGATTGGTGGATGGGATATAGCGCTGACCAATCACAGAAAGTTAAAAACACCGCGAATGGCGTTCATCGCTGCACGTAGATGGCGCAACGATAGGTGTATAAGCGTAGTTGTCAAAGAGGTTGAGAAAGTGTGAAGTTTAAATTAAACGTTTGCATAGGAAATATGTCGTTAGCTGATGAACTGTTGGCGGATCTCGAGGAGAATGACGACAACGATCATATGGCGGAGGAGCCAGAGCCGGATTTTATTCCGGCCTCTGTCTCGAAAACCATCGAAGAAGGTTAACTTTCTTTGTTTTTTTGTTAATCTGCTGAAAAATGTACTGACCTTTCATTTTTATTTGCAGAAATAAAAGTAGCTTCTGTAAGAGAGTTGGCGAAGCTTCGTGACTCGGAACAGTTGCAAAAAGTAATGTTGCAGATAGAAAAGTACAGTAAAATTCCTAGGAAGTCTGCAGATATTATCGGGCCCGTTGAGTCTGACCCAGAATATCAGCTTATTGTTGAGGCAAATAATATGGCTGTGGATATTGATGATGAAATAGGTATAATGTTATATTTTGGTTATATACAACATAGTATTTTGCATAGATACATTGTAATTTATATCTTTCAGCTACTATACATCGGTTTACCAGAGACAAATACTCTAAAAGATTTCCAGAATTAGAATCTTTAGTTGTTGGTCCATTGGAATATGTAATGACAGTCAGAGAATTAGGAAATGATTTAGACAGAGCAAAGAACAATGAAACTTTACAACAATTTCTCACTCAAGCAACGATTATGGTGGTTTCGGTTACTGCGTCTACAACACAAGGGTAATTTATTGTGCGATAAATTGTATGTAAAATTGAGTAACCAACTTGGACTTTTAAATTACAAAATTATTTTATTTACAGACAATTGTTAACGGAAGAAGAAAAAGAAGCCATTTGCGAGGCTTGTGATATGGCAGTGGAGTTGAATAATTGCAAATTAAAAATCTTTGAGTATGTTGAAAGTAGAATGGCATTCATTGCTCCAAATCTTTCTGTAATAGTGGGAGCATCTACAGCAGCAAAAATTATGGGTAAGAAAAAAATTTTTTTTTCAATATTTAAAAGTTTTTTAACCAACACTAACGCAAATTTCGTTTTTAGGTGTTGCTGGTGGATTGACGAAACTTTCCAAAATGCCAGCTTGCAACGTCCTAGTTTTGGGATCTCAAAAAACCACGTTGTCTGGATTTTCTCAAGTAACAACTTTACCTCATACTGGATTTATATATTACTCTGATATTGTACAAGAAACACCACCAGTGAGTTAATACGCACATAATAACACACGCACGTTAAGTATTTTTCGATATTTTTTTTATCGTTGTCAATTAATTTTTTCAGGATTTACGAAGGAAGGCAGCAAGGCTTGTCGCGGCGAAAAGTATGCTAGCTGCCCGAGTCGATGCATGCCATGAAAGTACAGATGGTCGTATCGGTCAAATGTTTCGCGAAGAAATTGAGAAGAAGCTCGATAAGCTTCAAGAACCACCTCCTGTAAAATTTGTGAAACCTTTGCCAAAGCCTATCGATCCGGGGCGAAAGAAACGCGGTGGTAAACGCGTCAGAAAAATGAAAGAACGCTATGCTATCACCGAATTTAGGAAACACGCGAACAGAATGAATTTTGCTGATGTAAGCTCCTTCGTTTCTTTTTCAATCTTTTTTTTTTTTTTTTTTTTTTGTAACATTTATACTGACGAAACTTCAATGATTTTACAGATCGAAAATGATGCCTACCAAGAAGATCTTGGTTATTCGCGTGGAACGATTGGCAAAGCAGGAACAGGTCGCATTCGATTGCCGCAAATTGACGAAAAAACAAAAGTACGGATATCAAAGACACTCCAAAAGAATTTGCAAAAGCAGCAACAATGGGGTGGCAGTACAACAGTTAAGAAACAAGTTTCCGGTACTGCATCAAGTGTTGCATTTACTCCGCTGCAGGTAAGCAATTGATGATGATTAAACGTATAGTAATTATGATTTTCAACATTAAATTCAACGTACATGTTTGCACTTTTCAGGGATTGGAAATTGTAAACCCGCAAGCCGCAGAAAAGAAAGTAAACGAAGCTAATGCTAAATATTTCTCGAACATAGCTGGATTTTTGAAAGTAAAAAAGACATAGAGGAAATTGTACATAATGTAAAATGTAATGTATCATTATTTATTATATATTTTATAAAAGTCTGACTGAAATTGATTTGTACAGATGTATCTTGTATTATTGTAAGGAAGATTTTGAAAAATTGTAACGCATTTATTTGTGTTTATATTTAATTAATATTAGATTTCGTCAAAGTAATAATTAAAAATCAAATATGTGTGGAAAAAATGTTACTTGCTTAATATTATACGTTCACTAAGTATTTAAGTATTGAGATACGTCGGCCGCAATAAGAGCGTAACTGGAAAGAAATATATGTATCGTCGTACACAGACAATTTGCAAATATAATAGATGACAGATGACCCGCCGGGTGAACTGATCGTAAAAATAAACAGTGCGAAAGACTTGCTAACTAGAGTGAAAAGGGACGTTGGCGTGTAGCGAACTTGGAGAAAAAAGGATGGATATACACATGTGAGAAGCGTGGTTGCGGCGGTGAGAGATAGAGAAGGATAGAAGGAACACCGGGTGGAACGAACGGCAAACCAGAACTGGGTGTCGTAAGGTAATCGTTGAATGCCTTGGGTACTCGTGTGTGTTCTCACTTCGTCTCTCATCTCCCTTCGACGATACGTATATTATGTGAAATTCCACGTTGCTCGTGTGTTTCACTCAGTACTACGCGGGATATGTGACTGTGCCTTGATTGTGATACGGGAATCGTAAGAGAACTGCTGTGACAAGGTGGAAATTCCTTGTCTTCTCGTTTGCGAATCCACCGGAGAAACCGGTGGCGAAAGAATAACTCCTGACAACCATGGCGAGTTTTAAAGACTTGGAGAATGATTGGTACTCGTTATGTCAGGATTGCACTGACTGCTGGACGCAATCTGGTGAGTCTTTACTTTCTTTTTAAATTTCCGAGGAATCATGGGGGCATGGAATATTTTAAAAATTAATTACAAAAATTTGATCTCTAAAAACGTGTTTGAAAACATTTTGATCTTTACTTCCTTGTAGAGAGTCTACAAGTTTTTACTGCGTAGATTCCTTACTTTTTCTTTTTTTTTTTATAAATCTACCATTGTTGGTTTCAAAAAATAATTACACTTTGACTTTGAAAGTATAAAAATAACGACAATTAATGACACGCTTTGTATATACATGTTGTTATATGTATCGTGTTATCATGTCAACATTAGACGATGAGAAATAGGACGTAGATAAGATCATTTCGTTGTATTTTCATATTAGAAATAATTTAAATTATAGTGTGAATTATCCAATTATTCGCTGAATTAAATTAAATGTTAAATTAAAGAAAACGCTCTCCTATCGATATAACGCTAATTCTTTCTCTCTGTAATTTATGTAGTGTAAGATCGTGTAAAAGCATTAATATAAATTGAATCATTAAATACGTATCTATAAATATTCGCGACTAGATTTTTTGTTGTATCAATTAATTGATTACACGGCGGTAACATACAGTTACGGAGATTACATTTACATCTACGTTACGTTTCTAGATCTTTGTCGATAAAATTGTGTTAACTTTTTTTTACTAATTAAAGATTAGTGCACAAAAATCGTTATACGTATTCAAAATCATATTTAAATCAGAAATTTAAATTTATATATAAATTGATATTTAAACATCGTACTTTCCTCTTTCGACGAACTTGTTATTATTATATAAATATTCCTTTTCTACGAAAGCCATCTCGGCAATGAGGAAATACACGTCTTTGATTGACATAAAAGAGAATTAATTTATAGCTCGTGTACTCGTGAAAGTTTTTTTTTTATAAACAATGTGTTATGTTTAGCGAGTATAGAATGTAGAATCGATTTTGCATCAAACATCGATTAATTAATATTCAAATGAATATTCTATCTAACTAAACGAGTTAACGTTTATAGTCATTGAAATTCAATTTTGCAATTACCATTATATTGTAATTGTTAAACATAAATTTTTTGATTCGCGTAGAATAATAATGAAATGATATCTTAAAGCTCGCTTGCGTGTAAATCTTCAATTAAGACAAGTAACGATGTCTAGGCGAATAATTTGATCTAAATGTTTCATTTCATTTATAGCTACTGCGGAGAAAAATCTTTAATCAATAGGAAGTGAACAGTTTAGATCTGTTTACGCCGCGTTTCGTAATGCATCGGTATGATCATCGAAAGGAATTTAACGGAACAGACCACGTATAAATAAACGGAATATTTAATTTCCAAAGTGGCGCTAGGCGTTCCGTTATTTATTTGAAACGATATTGATGCCTTTTCGATCGTGGCGTGATGTAATCCCGCTATTTAATTTCGATGAAGTAATGAAACTTGAACTACGCACAGCACGTAGATATTTTGTGTTTTAAGTTGTTGTCTAACGCGTAATTACGTAACGAGGCAACGTGTATTATGCGAATACTTTCTCGCATCAGCAATTCGCAGTCCTGTGCAACATTATACGAGAAAGCGATGAGATACCGCTTTTCGCGGTAAAGAGCAATGTTTCTTTTTGTCCTAAACAAATTTTTGATCAACGAAATCGTTTCGTCGAAAAGTGAAAGTTTGTGACCGAACGATTACTTGTTAAACTCTATCAATAATTTTGCATTCCTCCCTTCAAATTGTATTTCATACTTCTTTCTTTTAAATGATTCCGTAAATGTAATCATGATATTATCTAACATATTATCTAACGCTCTTTGATGTTCCTATTACATATTACGCAATGCTAATGGATCTCAAAAATTGTTCCCAATCGAGATTTAGTTTTAAGTTTTAAGACAAGATAATTGAAAAGTTTATGGGCTCTTTACGACCACTCAGCTAATTTTCGTATTTAAATAAAATCTCGGTATTGATCGGTTTAACGGCTGTTGAAAGGTAAACGCGCCGAGCAAAGATCATGCAGATTTGAGAATAATGAGAATCTAATTTCCAAGAAAACTTTGAGCGTGCAATTTCACTTGTTTCGTTTAATCTCATTCCGACAATCAAACAATCATCTTTATATAATGATTCGAATGGTGCATTTATCAGGCAACAGTCCGTGAAACGTTGCTATATGATAAAAAAAACTATTCGGGAAAATTAGTAAACGCACGAGTTGTTTGTTCATGTAACAAGGGAAATTTCGTATGTGCGCGCCATGTAAGCGCACGCGCGTATGCGCGCGCAGCTATTACCGACTGCGCGTTCTCCGATGGAATCTGGCCGATCGATGAATGAAATTTTATCGATCTACACATTTCTGTTCAGAGCGTTTGCAGCTGTTGAATACGCGTGCAATCTTGATCTCCTCTAATAGACTTTTACCTTAAAAAAAACACTATTCCTCGCTCAACTTCTTTAATTGTCTCAACGGGTTTCTCTTGCATTCTGATACTGTTCTCAGTATAAAAAAAATTCTAATTAGATTCTCCACAGGTTAATCTTTTGATATTTTTAGTTTTTTTTATAGGAATTTAATGATTGCATTGTGATGGCTTACCTGCGTGTCTTTTGAACTTCACTCTTAGAAGGTTAGGTTGACTCTTGGAAGGATTGTTCCAATCATTAGGTACCTAAGAATGTGAGAGATTTGTTTAATTTAAAAATTATGCAATCTTTTTGTTTATATGATAGTAATACTCAGTGAAAACGAATTTTGGGATTATTGATTACCAATCATGTGTAAATTGGTGATATTATAGGTTAAGATTATAGGTTTTTATTATAGGTTAAGACAAGAAAATGCACGATAGCGATAACACTGGAATTGTCAAAGGATATTTTGTACAAAGAATCGCTTCGCTTTGATATTTTTTTAAAATAAAAGACCATTAGGAACATGTTTGCAGTAAAGAAGATTTCTTACTTAGCAACATAGCTAAGAACTTGAAATTGGAATGGAATGTAAGAGGAAAAATTTAATTACTTCACATACATACGTATCTGTCAGATATTATATATTGCCATAGACATTACTCTTTTAATTTATTTTTAATTCGATTTTTGATAAACAAGACTTGCTGAATCGTCTCCAATTTTTAGAAACGAGGTATTAATCTATGGAAATGAATTTATGATAGTATCCATTCACAGCAAATGATTCGTCGTTAGATAATACAAGGCTGACCTTTTCCTTACTCTTCCCCTTCACAAAATAAATTTCTCTTTTTAAATCTTGGCGCGAAGTATCGTTCGTAAGAATTTTCACCGAGACAAGATTTGTGTTCTCGACAATCGAGAATCAATTACTTTCCACCTCGCGATAATCTACCGCCGCGTCTATGTCTTTTTCACTTCGGTCTTTGACTAATTGATATCTCGATCGCAAAGTTTCCCGCAGTCGTAGGTGTTCGACTGTAGGATCGAACGAAATCAATTATGCGGTTAGTGTTCCGTAATTATCGACTGGCGCAGACGATACCGCAACGACGATCACCACAATCGATATCTCGCGATCTCTGACAGTTACCCGACGCGAAGAAATTCATCAGTCTACTCTCGGTACCTGACATCTGAATGTATTTCGTGTATAACGCGCGAATAATAAGTGAATCGTTGAAGTTGTGTACTTGGTGAAAGAAATGTAGAGTGATTCTGTAAACTACTGATGTCGACATCGATCGATATAACTGCACACGGAACCGGTATGTGTTCTTGTTTTTTAAATATACCGTAATTTTTTCTCTAATACTTTTGGCAGTTTCTAACCTCACTTGAATCGTAACCGTTTTTCCCGATTCACGGAACGAATGAATCTTACTGGTGTTTAAAGAACATAATGTATAGTGTCACTCTTTCTCAAATATTTATTCCAGTTTGTATGCGAGTGGATTAATACGAGTTAATTAAGAATTCCCTCGATTTTCTCAATTCGTAAAAGGAAAATGGCGGGAACGCCATTTTAATTGAGGAAGCCAAAAGAGAAATGAAAGACGGAAGGAAAATTAGACGAAATTATTCGGTAATTTCAGAAACAATTGAAATTGTTCCAATTCTTAAGCTTATTATATTATACTTTCGGTTTTCTTTTTCTCTTTCTCTCTCTCTCATAATTTCTCTTTTCTACTCATATCTTCGTAAACGATAGGCGGTAACGTCTCGCATCCGCGGCTTGTTATGCAGAATTTCAAATGTCTTCCGCGTTCACGGCTCGATTAATGGACACCGGAAAGCCAGCGGGTGTAATATTATTGCCAGCGTCCTTTCTACTCTATTTCACTTGGACTGGTGAATTATTAATTATCATCAGTTCGGAAATGCGATCAGAATTTCGCGCGAGGATAAAGATCATCGCGAGTTATGTAAATTTCGGAGAGTAGGCCACGCGAAACATTCTTCTTTTTTCTTTTCTTTTTTTTTTTTTTAAATTAACCGTAGTACGCATAGTTAATCATCCGGTAATTCGTAATATTATATTCCTCGGGTTATCTTGGCCACGCTCTAGCGAATACCGTTAACGCGTAAACTTTCGTGCCACGAGGGGTCACGATTCCTTATCAATTCGACAAGCAGTTTCTACGCATGCACTGTGAATTATGAACATCCTTTCTGAACGTGGTTATTTCACTTGGCGATCAATCTACTATTTATGAGAAAAAGATAGGCCCGCGTACGCGAGTGTGATGACCGCTGTTATTTTTTGAATTTGAACCTTGTATTGTACTCTTCGTAGAGTTCAGACGAGAATTTCTTTCTATAGTTTTTTTCTATAGTTTTAGTATTTAAAAAAAAAAAAAAAAAAAAAAAAAAGAGAATTTAATTGAAAAGAAATCGCTTGACCTCCAATAAGTCGAATGAAAGGTTAACCACTTACGCTGGCAGTGATTGCGGACCATAACGAGTGACCAAACCGTCGCTCTCATTTCGAACTCGTCGGTGTGATATCGCTGGATAGAAATGATTGAAAAGTAATAAATTTATTATTTGTTTTGCCTGTTTTGTCTTTACTTAAATATGCTTAAAACTCAAAAAATATTACAATTTTGGAACAAAAAATTCTCGACGTACGTGGCAAGAGATTAATGATCTCGTGGATGAAATTTCGAATTTTCGTAAATTTTTCTTTCACTTGGAGAATGCATGTATATTGCACAATTAAATGTAAAAAGGTGAAGAGTTACGAGATAAATTTCTAGCAACCGTTGTAATTAACATCAGCGAATCCTGGAACAAATGATCTTCTCTAAACATTCGTCGTTTTGACGCATAACGCGCACGCATTGACCAGAAACGACACGTGCGCGTTATGCATTCTCATGAATAGTTTACGACGTATCCCGGGAATAATATTGTCCTTTCTCCGAGAATTGATTTACCTTGATTTTGTCGCGGCGTGATCTCCATTCGCACAACCTTTCTAAATGAAACAATGCCTTTCGAAAGCCGAGGATCGGCCCCGGTTGAAACAATGTCCTACAAGCCGTAAATGCTGTTATTCAAATTGATTAGAAAGTATCAATCGGATGGACATTTCGCATGAAACCGCGACGTGACACTCTCTCACGTTACTATTCCCAGCGACGCACTGACGATAACTCGATCCGTCGAGCCGATCCTTCCCGTTTTTACTGCCAATTACAAATTGTAAAAGCTGTCAATTACGGGCTGCACGTGCTATGATAAGGAATTGGCGGGTCATGGCTACCTGTGGATTCGATCGCGCGGACATTGCATCTTGGAAAAGTAGAACGTCTGGAATTGTTTCTAGTGAAGGGATTACTGGGCTCGGAAAAGTATAACTCCATCGTTCAGTCCGACGAAGAAAAGATTTAGAAATATCTAGGTTAAAGGCATTTGGATGATGAAGCGATTAAAATTCGCGAATTTTTTTCGCAGGCGATTGCTAAATGAAAAGTCCCAAGTTTTCAAAGAGATACATATGTATTTCAGCTTTATATTATTACGACAGATTCTTCTTCTTCTTCTTCTATTTTTTCTTTAATGTCGCATCGACAGCGAGGTCATTAGCGACGACGGTGCCATTAGATATGAGTGCAGTAGTTTATGTTTTTGAGGTATTTTAGTACTCTTTGTATGTCAGGTTTATATTTGCGTTGATTCCGTATTTCTGTGGTGTGGCATTCGTGCAGTATGTGGGTTATTGTTAGTGGATGGTTATTGCAATGAGTGCAGGTGGGTGGTGAAGTATTTTTGATTTTGTGTCAGTTTGGTATGACCGGCTCTTAGGCGTGAGACAATTAATTCCTTCTTTCCTGTTGGTAAGGTTTGGTGTTTGCTGGTGAAAGTCTTGGATACTTTGACAGATTATTATTATTTACGATGCAACTTCGAAATCTCTGAGAAAAAGAAAAAGAAATTGGAATTTTTCATTTTGTTCGATATACCATTCGCACTGATTTCAGACTTCCGAGCGTACCGCGTTTATCGCGATCGAGGTAAATATCCAGTATCTTCCGTTTCAAAGAGATTTAGAACATTTAATTCAATCGCCTCTGGGCGTACACGTGTGACTTACATTGGCGTATCCGATCGCAACTCGATATCCCGCAATTTGATCGACGTACCACTCCGATATGTTTGTTCAATTACGCATTTAGTGCCGAGAGTCGCTCTCTCCTTTGACTCTGCGATCCTTGGATCGATATACATATACATACATATATATATATATATATATATATACACACGGTCCGTGTACGATCGATCCGAGCACACCGCACCAATAACCAGCGTGTACGACGTTCGTGATTTCCTTGAGGCTGTCATTAATTGGAAAAGAAATTAGCGGTCGTGAGCCACGTAGTATTCTCTTTTTCCATTTGGCGAGCCTAGTGGTGCGCAAAGTCGACAAGCAGCTACCGGTTACGTCGGTAACGAGCGATCGAAAGATAGGCGCCGGATTTTTTCCATTTTTTAATTGGCGGTTTACGGTCGCCATAATGATAATGAATTATCAGCGATTCGATTTTTTTTTTTCTTTTTTTCTTTAGAAAAGCAACGCGTGCCAACGAGTCGAGATACTATACGAATTTTGCGAACGAAATTATCTCTCCGCGTTACGTCGAGATCGTTCGTGTCGTTGCCACATCGAGTCAAGTTTAATTTCGTGTTCAAAATTTATGTGAAACACGCGCAATCAAGCAGAATTAATTTTAATTACATGTTCTATACTAATCTCCGTTGGCTCGCCGCCGGGATTAATGACGGCAGTGCAACTTGCACTTTCCACTTGAATTTCATAACGTTCGTGGAACTTCTCTCTCGTCGCGTTTCAACCTTCGATGGCTCGTCGCGGTGAATGTCCAAGCGTTTGCTAAAAATCCCACTAGATTTTAATCCATCGATAAATCTCTATTTTCAAAGATTTATAAAATTATAATTATAATTATAAAATTGTAATATTATTATTGCAAATTATATTTTATATATTATTATTATAAATTATAATTATTATAATACTCTCGTATTTGTAACAATTATCACATTCACGAAACTTAGGTCCTGAATTGATCGAATTGAATATATTTTTTAGACACATTTTACTAATTCTAAAATAATAGTCGTTGGTAGAAAAAAAGAAAATAGAGAATTTTATTGAAAATGCATTCAAATTTGGTTGATATAACTCATTAAAAATTTATGAGTATATTTATACAGGTAACTTTACAGTTATTAATGAGTTGTTAAAATTTGCAAATTTATTAGTATTATTATTCACCGACGTACTTGCTCGAAAAAAACTAGATACAAAAATTCGTACGTACCCAAATATTTCCATTAGAAATTGCCATTTAGAGAAGCAATTAGACGCGAGTTATGAAATGTAAACGAGAAATAAAATTGTCACGTGGGAATTCGTTTCTTATCCGACAATTCGATGTATTTCTTTGGAGCATCGAACGATTTTATTAAGCACCGTGGCAGAGAAAAAAATAATCGACACAACTGGGGAGAGTAGCAAAAACAGATTGCTTCTTCTTCCGTTTCTACGAGCGGCAAATTGCCTCGATTTCACGCTGCAACCGATTCCATCTATCATCCGATATTTATTAAACTTTTACCCACAAGGTCACGTACAAACTCATTTCGACTCGACCTTTCGCGCCTCTCAACATCCACTTCATCACTTTTTCTTCTTTTTTTTTTTTTTCCTTCAACTTTCTCGGACTTTAAATTTACAAAAGTGTCCGCCACGTTAGGAGACTTTCATCGAGCGTCAATTTACACGCGGGTATCCGCGTTTGTTCTGCGTTGGAATTGGACATCTCGAATTAATCTCTTATTGCGCTGAAATAACGTGCCACGCAGAGAATTTTTTTTGTCCCAAAATTATAATATATTCTCTCAGTTTTAAGTATATTTAGGTAAAACAAAATAGGCAAAACAAGTAATAAATTTATTACTTCTGAATAATTTCTATCCAGCGATATTGTATCATGAGTTCAAAA